TTTTTTTTTTTTTTTTTTTTTTTTTTTTTTTTTTTTTTTTGTATATTTCATATGCCATTCTTCATATATCTTATACATATATATTTTGTGTTTTTATATATTCTTGATGCAATTCTACATATATATATTTAGACATATGTTTTTCATACATTTCATGTGTCATTTTTAGTTTATTCTAATTCATATATTTGATATGCTCATATATTTTATATGCCATTCTTTATATATTTTTGTACCTATATACATATCTTTTTGTATCTATATCTATATCTATTTCTATATCTACCTATCTATCTATCTATCTTTCTATCTATCTATCTATCTATCTATCTATCTATCTATCTATCTATCTATCTATCTATATATTATATATATATATATATATATATATATATATATATATATATATATATATATATATATATAATTCTTAATATTATAATATATTTCTATATAATACTTATATTTTTACATATTTTAATGCATGTTCATTTTTATATTTTTATATATATTTCATTTCATTCTTTATATATTCTTATGAATATACATTTTTTCTAATATATTTTATCATATATTCTGTTTTCTTTTCTCATTTTAGAATTGAAGATGACATTTTAGAAAATATAGTTATTCAAAGGAAAAAAAATAAATAAAAATGTATTTCTGTTTTTTTTTTTTTTTTGACGAACAAAGTCAAAGTTAATTAAAAGAAAAAAATTTGAAGCGAAAAAACGACTTAGACAATTATGAAGAAAAGAAAGAGAATTGTATGAAGAAAGAAGAGGAGAAAATAAAAGCGGAAAATGGAATAGAAAAAAATAGATGAAAAAAGAAATATTAAAATAATAATAATAATAATAATAATAATAATAATAATAATAATAATTAATAATGATAATAATGAATAATAATAATACGATGATGGATTAGGGAGAAATGCATATAAACAAATAGAGAAAAGAAAGAAATATAATAAAAAAGAAAAAAAAAGAAAAAAAAATTATATTCGTGTTAAGAAAAAAATACACCAAAAAAATCGGGAATTAGATGAAAATAAAAGCAAAAGAAATGAAAAAGAGATTAAAGAAAAATGAATTGCTAAGAAAGGGAATTACAGCAAAGAGAAGAATAGGAATCACATGTCTCTATTGCTCGATAAATCAACATCAGCATTAGCGTTGATAATGTATAAGCATCAGCTGCAACATTGGCCACCGTCGAAAAGGCGAACTGGCAACCGAGGAGGGAAAGGAACGAAGGGGGGTGGGGATGGGGTGGCGGGGAGGGGGGGGTAGGGTAGGTGGTGTTGTCTGCGTGTTTTTTGTGTTGTTTTTTTTTCTCTCTTCTCTCTCTCAATCTCTCTCTCTTCTCTCTCCTCCTCTCTCTCTCTCTCTCTCTCTCTCTCTCTCTCTCTCTCTCTCTCTCTCTCTCTCTCTCTCTCTCTCTCTCTCTCTCTCTCTTTCTTTCTTCTTTTCATTTATCTTTTGTTTTGCTTCGTTTATTTTTGTTTTTTGTTTTTCTGTTTTGTTTTCTATTTTTTTGTCTTTTCCTTTTGTTATTTCTATTTCCTTCCGTTTCCCTTCTCCTTTTTTTTTTCCCTTTCCTTATTTTCTCACTTTCTTCCGAATCCTTGTTCCTTTTCTCTTCTTCATCGTCCTTCATCATCATATTTTCTTCTTCTTCACTCATTCGCAAAAAGAAACGACTATTTTCTCAAGAAAGTATTTTGAAAAGGAATTCAGGGGGGGGGGGAGGGGGGAGGATATGGGGGGAGGGGTAGAGGGGGGAGAGAGAGATGGAGGACGAAAGAGAGAGGAGGTGAAGGCGAAAGAGAAAGGGTGGGTGGGAGAGGATGAGAGGTGGGTGGGGAGAGAAAAGAAGTCAAATGATGAAGGTAAGGAGAGGTGAGAGGAGGAGAGAGAGAGGGAAGGGAGGAGACAGACAGGGAAAGGGGAGAGAGAGAAAGAGTACAGACAGGGAAAAGAGAGGAGATAGGAAAGGGAAGAGACAAGAGAAAACGATGAAAAGGGAGAGGAAGAGAGAAAGACAGAAAGAGACAGACAGAGAAAGGGAAAAGAGATGAGAAAGAGAACAGAGAACAGAGAAGAAGGGAAAGGGAGAGAGAAAGGAAAGAGAAGAGACAGACAGCGATGAAAGGGGGAGGAGGGAGGGAGAGAAAGGAAAAGAGAAGGAGACAGACAGCGGAAAGGGAGAGAGAGAAAAGAGAAAGAGACAGACAGAGAAAAAGAAAGAGATAGACAGAGATGAAAGAGGGAGAGAGAAAGGAAAGAGAAGAGAAGAACAGAGAAGAAAGAGGGGGAGGAGAGAGGAGAGAGAAAGAAAGAGAGAAGACAGAAGAGATGAAAGGGAGAGAAGAGAGAAGAGGAAAGAGAAGAGACAGACAGAGATGAAAGGAGAGAGAGAGAAAGGAAAAGAAAGAGACAGAAACGATGAAAGGAAAGAGAGAAAGGAAAGAGAAGAGACAGACAGAGATGACAAG